TAGACATGCTGCTTTTCTCCTTGGAAAGTGAGTGTCACATGGTGTTAAGATCAAAAAAACTGGATACTACATATATCACATGGTCTGAAAACAAAAAGAGCAATTGGAAGGGTAACTTCCTGAGCTGCCCTGTGGAATAGCAGAGCGAAAAGTAAGTGGACAAAAGCCTCCTTGGTCACAGCAGTCATGGGAATGCATCCTATTTCCAGAGCTGGTGACATTAACCTTTAGGTGTAACACTCTTCAAGCAAACAGAACTATTGTAAGAGTCAAAAATGCAGATGGAGCATTCTGAGAAACCCTACAGAGAGCTGGCACTCCATAAGCTTTGCCATGACAGTATCCCTCATCCTGGAGCTTGCTAGGACAGTGTCTGGTATCTGGGTTTGCGCTAGGAAAGGTGGGCATAGGGAACCCTCACCTGTGTCAAGTGCCATTTTCTGAACTGTTTCCAGACTAATGGCACAGAAAGGGGGAACATATCAGATTTGGCCCCACAGCCTGTGAAACTGGCAAGAAGCAGTTGCAGAGTCTGCAGAGTTGCAGGTAGACAAGGATCCCGTGACAGCACTATCACACTGCCAAGTCTAGAATTGCATAACTTCTTAACAACTTCATATATTCAACAAAAATGAATATGCTTTTCTATATATTGAAGTTAAAAAAAATCTCTTAAAATCACTTAAAAAATATTAACATCATATTAGCACATGTATACAGAATCTGTTCTGCCAAAGTAAAGCTAGTCCAAGACAGAAGGAAAATAGAAAACACATATTTTTACATTACAATTTAATTACATATATCTCTATTAGTAGGTGCTAATCTCGCTGCAGATTTTCTAAGGCACAGAATCTTTATCTGAAGATATACACCAACCTTTACTTCAATCCAGTAGAAGGTGGTACCTTGTCATATACAGACCCAAAAACCCATTCAGCACCATACCACAAATGCAACATATACTGACTAGCACTTTGAGAAGACTACCATTTGTACTGAAATAAATACAATTTGGCAGCAAAGACTCTATCACAGCTTTGTCACAATTTTTGTCTACATAAATATCTTGATTCTATTTTCTGTTTCAGGAAGAATACATTACATGCTTCAATTCTCCCTCCATCAGTTACTCTCACGTTTCACTGATGAAAATACCATAACATCTAAATAAATAAATAAATAAATAAAACATTAAACTCCATTTTTAGGTCCATTTTTTTTTCAGTTTGTAGTTGTGTATTTATTTAAACAAAAAAGCCCTGAGGAATCTGTTAAGTCACACATCAGTGAACGGCATATAAAACAGAAGTCATGGCTCCTGTTCACCATGCATGCAATGCAATATTTATATCACAGATGTTTTCAAATGTAGTTTTATTCCAGTGACTATCTGCAGTTTATACATATATTTAAAAACAACATTATGTGAACATATCACAGACTGGTACCTAAAAAATCTTTAGTACATACTCCTTTATAAAAGGTTTTGACACAATGGAAAAGTCAGTCCAGAAAAATGCATGTTACCAGGTTTCTTGATAAACAAAAGATTGTGAGGCCCTGTAACCTGCATAAGCACAAGTATCCATGGCAATGGATCTCTCGTCTAAATCCTTGTTTCAAATAAACAGGTTTAAATTTTGTTCAGTAAACAAGTTCTACCACAACACCGTCCGTTTAAATTTGTGCTTTCCAAAAGGCAAGCGTACTACAGAAAAAAAAATTCCCTACCCAATACGAGGGAGAAATGCAGTAAACGTGTATTTGTTTCCCATTCCAGCAGAGGAATCCGAGCTCCTTGAAATTCTCTTTATGTCTAAATCCAAAATGGCCTGCTTATACCTTCTTCTTCTTCTTCTTCGCCTGCTCTCCAGACTCTACTTTACGTTTCTTAGCAGAAGCTGGTTCATCATCTTTTTCACCATCTTTAAATAAAAGAAAGAGTTAATCAAAGTCAGCAAAGACAGGTTTTTGTCTTAAACACCATCCTGTCTCAGAACAACTGACTTAACCACACCTGAGATGGCTGGAAAAAAGACACTGTAGCATTAATTAACAACGTCCTCATTTTTGTAATGCAGACAGTATGTGCACAAAACAGGAACGGTTACTTACTACTACCACAAGCCACTGCAGGTAACTAAAAAGAGGCTTTATGATACTGTACAGTACCTGTTCCAAAAAATTAGTATTTGACTAGCTAACAGAAAAAGCTAGAAAATGACATTTTTGAAGCAGGAAATAATGTCAAGATCAATTAACATTTTACCTTCTTCCTTTGCACGAAGGCTAAGAGAAAGGCATAGACAGGGGAAACATAGAACACATGAAGCAAGACATAAAAACTGCTACTGGGAAAGAACACCCAGAACCAAAAAACATGCAAGACAGCAAAAAAATCCTTTTGGTAAAGCTTTTTTGACTATACCAATCAATGAAAACATTATTGTGTGTTCTGAAAGCCCAGAATTTATTCTGGTTCTGTTCTTGATTGTTGCTGGCTATTCTTTTTCTCCAGCAATTAAAAAAAAAAAAAAAAAAAAATTCCTCCTACCCATCGAGTATTTCTTTACTTCCAAAATTACCACTGCAGCTTGTACCATCATTGAAAGTGAAGAGGATAGCGAATATTTTCTTCAGCAATCTGGCCCACAGACATCCTATTTGATTCATCTTTTGGATCCCAAGTTTTGCAAACGTTATAAAAATAAACTGACCTACATCTACAACTAGGGTCAACACAGCAGCACCTGAAGCTCTCACACCACCTTGTTTCAGTAGCACCATGAACCTGTTGGTTTTATAGTGCTACAGACTCTAATGCTTCCCTGCTAACGACAGTGGGGGAGAGGAGCAGAGAGACTGCTCGAGGGTCTGCGTTGACTCCAGGAAAGCCAAAAGTCCGGCACCGCAGTCCACCCGTCCCTGCAGCCAGAGCGCTCCGCCCTTGGGCAGCAGTGGATGCAGGAGAAGCCAGCAGAGCTTCCTCCGGGCGCAGGGAGGCTCCGGCCGAGCACGCAGGGAACCCGCCCGCCCAGCCGGCTCAGGAAGCACACCCAGCCCGTGCGAGGCACGGCCGCCTCAAGCCAGGGCCTCACCCGACTCCAGGAGCTCCTGCTCCTCGTCCGGCAGGAACTTGGCTTTGCCGGCCTGGCGGGGTGCGTCGTCGCCATTGTCCTCGTAGATGTTGGACCACTTTATGGCCATGTCGAGGGCGGGAGCCGGCGGCGGCGGCTTCTCGGGCGGGCTGTAGGTCTCCGGCGGGGGCACGGCGTTGCTCCTCCACACCTTGAACTCCCTGGGGGGCTGCGGGAGAGAGCAGAGCGCCCGTCACAGCGGCCCGCGCGGCTCGGGGCGGCCCGGCGCCGCCTCGGTTCACCCCGCGCCCCACGCACCTCCTCGGGCGCCCGCAGGACGCGGCTCTCCCAGTCGATCTCCTTGTTGAGAGGGTTGTAGAGGAAGGCGGGCGGCTGCGACACCCGACGGAAGAGCTCGTCGGGCGGCGGCAGCCGCGGCCGCCCCGGGCTGCCCCCCGAGGCCGCCCCGGCTCCCGGCGGGCGCTCGTCGGGCTGGGGCTCTTCGGGCTCCGAATCGGAGCTGGAGCTGCCGTAGGCCGCGAAATAGCCCAGCGGGTCCTCCCCCTCCGTCGCCATGGCGGGGCCGCGCCTCGCACCGCCCGCGGAAACCGCGCCCGCGCCGAGGGTTCCGGGCCGCGGCTGCTCCGGGCCCAGCGGCCCCGGCGGAGGGAGCCGGGGCAGCCGCGGAGGCGGCGCCGCCGGGGCGGGCGGGCTCCTGCCGGGGCGCTTCCCTTCCAGTGACCAGACACCGAACAGCAGACACCGAACAGCAGACACGAAACCCAGCCAACCTTCATTTCTGCCTTTTCACACCTGCGGGCCTACGTGGAAGGAAAACACGTTTTCCTTAATGTCTGATCACCGGCTCACCTAGGGCAGACACGGCACTGGCCATCACCCGTCCAGAAGGTATCTTTACCAAAACAGATTTTTCAAATTTGTTGGACAAAGTACTAGACCTCCCTTGTGATTGACTCCTACGTACATTACTGCATCAGTCGAAGTACTGGTGCTGTTCATACGGGGTGAAGCTGAGGCAGGGGAGGTTTAGGTTGGATATCAGGAGAAGCTTTTTCACCCAGAGGGTGGCTGGGCACTGGAGCAGCTCCCCAGGGCATCACAGCACCAGCCTGACAGGTTCAGGAAGTGTTTGGACAATGCTCTCAGGCACAGGGTGTGACCCTCGGGGATGCCCTGTGCAGGGCTGGGAATTGGACTCAGGGGTCTTTGTGAGCCCCTTCCAACTCAGCATATTTTATGATTCTATATTCAGATTACTTATACTACCAGAAGCAGGAAAATATCTGAGGAAGGGGTTTCGATTTTACTATGATCACTTCCCATACTTGTAAAGATAATAAACCATATCCAGCTGACCTCATAATCAATACCATGATCATTATTTTGAAGTAAGCCCTAGACACAAAATACAATGAAAACAAGCACTGAAGTGAGACACCACAGTGCCTGCCACATTTGCAAGTTCTTTTTTGAGTCATGCTTCTCAGCACTCAAAGTTTTTGTTTCTCCCCTGCTATTAATAAAAATAAAAATCTTAATTTAAGAATGAAATCAAGACACACTCTTCTCACATCCGTAGGAAGCTGAGCAATAGAGTAATTGGAAAAAAAAGCAAGAATCAGGTTAGTAATAGCAGTCACTAACTGCAGAAACTACTTAAGCAGCAGAGCTCTTGATTTCACATGCATGTTTTCCTTACAGACTGCTCTTGGTGCAGCCCTACGGGCACAGGCAGTTCACATTAAGTCAGTCTTTCCACCAAAGACAAACCTCTCTAAAAAGACAAGGAGAACAAAAGCCTCCTGCAAACACAAAACCAAAACCACACATCAAGGTAACGGTATGAACTGCTCTTGCAACCTGTGCATCTTAAAAACGAGAAGCAGGCAGAAAAACACACAGTTATACAAAAGAATTTATTCCAAAAGTTGTGATAAAAATAAGTTTTAAAAATGCACATTATAAACAATTGGTATGATAATACATTCATTTGAGGTCTCAGGTTCATTGGGAGTGGTCCCTGCAGAGCTGGCTCCCTGCAGGCTGCACACCGCGGGCAGGATGGGGAGCAGCGAGGCAGCCTCCACCCTAAGCTGATGCATTTTCTCTGTTAAAGCCAACCCTGCTCACTCTCTTCTCTTTACAAGAACCCAGGAAGGGACTCCAATCTAAGCACAGCTCTTCATGTGGCTACAGTGGGCATTTACACAAATGACTTTTTAGACATCCCAAGTATGTGCAGCTACAAATTAAGTTAATGGAAGACAGGGAGTTCATCCTATCCTTAATCTCATGTTAAAGAGAAAACTTTGGCTTGCATATTTAGGCACTTTATTTCCAGAGTGCCATCTAACTGAAGCAGTTTCACTGAAAAACATTTTCACTGTCTGGACAGTCTATGATTGTAGATGTAGAGAAGAAAAACAAAGATTTTTACAAACACATCTTTCTCACATGTAAGATGTTCATATACTCAGGATGGAGTGTAGTTGAACATTTCATTTTATTTTGATCTACTTCCAAAACCAGAATAATAATGAAAAACAATTTACAGAGACTATACTGAGGTCCTGCAGGTGGCCTGTCTCCACAAGAGGAGAACAGTTTAGTAATATTACCCATGTGTGCATTGGAATGGCATTACATGGCTATACACAGTATGAGAGCCAAAATAATTTAGGGCCTTAAATACCAACCCACCCTCTGATACACTGAAAACATCCCATCACTTTGAAGTGTGCTGCTGCAGAACACAACTGTACACATGTCAAATTAAGAATCCACCAGGTCATTTTGAAATGATAATAGGCACCTGCACAAAAGGTAGGCTACAATTCGAGTATGAGAGGAAATCAGGATGTTAGATGGTGGCAAGAAATGAGAACCTTCCCATGTTGAAACAGTTTAAAATGCATTTGACTCCAAACAATTTGAAATGTAAACCTGTCTGTCTGCTTTGAAGAGGAGGTATCTGAAGTGCTCTATTTCCAAGAGTCCTTCAGGTAGGGATACTTTCTTGTCACACAACTTCTCCTCCACTTCCCAAGGGGGACAAAGCATACAAGCTTTGTTCCTTAATAGCGTCCTACAATAATGTTTTCTTACAGCCCTCATGATGCCACTAGAGCAGTCTACATTCCTTTTCCAGTACTAAAGAGAATTTATATTTAAAGTGCATCTCAAATCAGGAATCTTTAACTAATATACAAGAAGAATATGCCAAGGCCTGCAGAAGTGTATTTGCGATACTGATGCCTTTTGATTTATCAGTAGGACAAAGTTCACACAAGGAGAAGACTCCTTGCTAATAAGCATGGATTTGGCCAGAATTGTGAGGTTTTTTGCAAATGGAGCAGCACACACAGACATGGAGAGCAGAATTTATCCCAGTGAGAAACATTTAACTTAAATGAGTTTAAGCTTTTTGGTAAGTAAGCTTAAGCTTTTAGTTCATTTTTTTTTTCCATACTCAGTACTTTTCCTAACCATCTTTCCCAGTTTGCCATCACAGAAACATTAAGAAAAGCTGATTTGTTAGTTTCTGTAGAAAGAAAAACCCTATTTGTTCTATCATTCCAGCTGAACTATCTACAACTAAATGTGAAATCTTTTACACATTTGTTTAAAAATCAAACATTTGCTGGTATAATGCCACAATATTTTGAAAAAAGCTCCCTAAAGAACAAAACAAACAAAAAAAGTCAAGCAGCTCCAGCATCATACAATTACAAAATTAAAACAGAAATTGCATAGATTATTTCCTCTAATTTTTCTAACAGTTTGAAAACATTTTTTAGCCTTTATGAGACATCACACAAAGTTTCAGTACCATTCAGATGAACAGACGAAAGTCACTGTGTTCATTGTGGTTGAACAGAACGTGACCTTAAAGGCAAAAAGCAATTGTCACTTGAACTAGTACATGGCTCTTGCTGGTCTGACTCGAGCTCTGGGGGCAGTGGGGGTGCACCAGGGTCTCCAGGCCCTGGGAGGGTGGCTGAGAAAACACTGCACTGTGAATTTCCCATCTCTGCAATTGGTAAATTCATTGAATGAAGAGAGACAGCAGACACAAATGCAGCGGTGCTATAATCTTCTTCTGGGTGATGTATCTGGGTAGATTCCTTGTCTTTTGTTTTATCAAAAAAATTTGATTCATCAGAAAATGATCTAGAAAGATTATTTGTTCCTCCATACAGTGAGGTCATACAGGTGCTGCAGCTTAGACCTAAGACAAAAAAACAGATACTGGATTTAGTTACAATATGGGCATGTCTTAAAACTCTGGTTTAATATCAGCAAGACTGTCAAAGATCAATTGTCTGTATTTTTAACAGAGTAACCCTTCATCTCACCTGTGACATCCAGAATTCCTGACAAACTAAAGAACAAACATCTAGGTTATCTAGGCTGATGTGAATGGTTTCTCTGTACTTAGTACCAGATAGTACTTGACAAAGATGCACCGTAACTTAAAGGTCTGTTTAGAAAGTCACTTTAGCCCTTTGGCCCAACTTTTTTTTTATTTTTCTCACTGTGTTCTTCAAGCTTTTAAGAGCTTCACTTGATGATTCTGCTCCAAAGTGGACAGCATTTGAAGGCTATTTTACCTGAAGCCAGAGAAAAACTCAGGCCCTTCATCTCTATGGTTAAAACGTACTTCTTTCTTTCTTTATTTGCCTTTTGATGAGTGTGGAAGGGGAAGTAACACTTTTGGTGTAGAAAGCCTATACTTTCTTCCTCTGCCTTAAAATATAATCACACATAGTCACTTCGAGGTTTGGGTGTCAACAAAACCTCTAAGCCTGTATGAAGAAACACACACATGTATTTACAGTGTCTCCTTTTAAGCTGTGGCATTGAAGGCATACAGGGGAACTCCCCTCAAGCTGCATTTGCTAGCACATCTTCTGCTGAGGCACAAAGTTTAACTAAACCAGAGCATCCTGCCACTGCAGCAAATAGCTTCAAGAGAAATGCAGGATGGAAGATAACCACCTACTTTTGAAAAGCAAAAATGAAATGTGAAGACAGATTTATCCATCATAACAACACAATAGGGTTTTTTTTGCAACTTGTTATTTATGATGGATGTGTTCAGATAGTAAAAAGCCAGGATACATGCACGTTCTCAAACACAAACTGGTGATATTTCCAAACATGTTGTTCCAAATACCAGAGGAAGACTTTTAGTTTTGAATTTTAATTTTGCATACCCTCAAAATAAAAATTATGTCTTACACAACATTATTAAAAAATTGTTACCTTTAAGAGCTTCGAGCTTTTCATTTTTGACTTTCAACACTACATCAGTTATCTTTTGTAACAGGAAGTTTTGTGTTCTTTCTCGTCTGATAGATTCAATCAAAGTATCTAGTCCTTTCGGATTTTCTGCTAAGTAATCCAGTAGCTTCCCAGTTTTTTTCCTACTGGAAGATCGAGCAGAAATTTCTTCTGTGTCCTCCCTAGTGAGTATTTTCTTAGAACGTAGGTAATCAAAGTGTCTCTCGGCTATGATTTTGTCACACAGGTAAGGACGCATCCTCTCTAAAGCCTGAAAAATAAAACAAACTAGTATTAATCAACATTTCAAATTATTCAGAAGCCTGTCCTTGGAATCCATGTGATTTTGATACAGGTAAGCAAATTAATTTTTAAGGCTGCCATTGTGTTACTTAGTTGAGATTTTACTTGGTGCAAAAAACATTTAAAAAACTGTTACCTAATTATTGCTTTCTTAACTCTTCTTAACTCTTTGACTGAACTCAGGAGTTCCAAGGCTTGTTAAGAAATAAGGTGACTACTTATAGAAAATGTGATTACATAAGGCCTGAGGTTAGCACATTTCAAAACAGTCAAGTAAAAATGAAATTATATCAAACAGCACCTGCTCACTTTGTCTACAGATACACCTATTTTCACTGATTGCCACATTTCCATACTGATTGTATCCTTGAGGTACAACTCCAAAATACTGCAGTCACTGATGTTTTCTGTACAGTGAGCAAAAGCAGTCTCAGAGCAACAGCATGTATGCACTCACAGTTCAAAGGGTTTGTAAATAAACCCCACCATTGACAAGTTAAACAAATTACTGACATCCAAAATACACAAATAAAGATGCACTTTCATCCATAAATGTAAATACTCTCAACAACATTAGTGGCTGTGTTTTGTCTTTTGCAACCCTACCCTATTGTATGAGTGATTTTATACAGTTCACCCACATGCTTCTCAGCTCTCAACTGCAAGACTCCAACCTTTGTAACTCCTCCTCAACATGAGCTTGCCCAGACCAAGATGTCCTTGCCAGTTTTAGCTTCCTGAGGTGTGCTCTCCCCTATCACACACAGACCCTGGTTTGCAGAGATCCCATCAAAGGTACCTGAACAGCTCTGAGAGAGCTGAGTGAATTTACACTGAACCAGCACGTTGGATTGTGAAGCCACAACATTTAAAATCTGAGTGCATAAGCCCTAAAGTCAGATTTATAGGACTGCATTTTGATGGTAAAATGAATGTTGTTTCTACCTAAGGTTTCCATCCTTTCTCCTCCGATTACTTTGGGAGAACCTCTAAGATTAAGGGCTGAAGTGCCAATCATGCACTTCTATGAGAGGCAGCCTTGGGTTCAGTCACTGACCCAGACTAACATATTTGGCATGTTATACCTGTATTGTCTGACTCAAGTAGTTTTTACTCTTTTTTGGTATAACTACCCAATGCCACCTATTGCAGTATTACCCTGTCATTCCACAGAAACGAGTACTAGCTTGAAAAACATGTCTCATAGAACTATGACAAAGCATTTAAAAGAAATCACATAAGCATAAAGCTAGAAAGAAACAAAAACCAAACTTGAAGGAGTCTTCACTGCACTTTAAAAGAACATAGAAAAACACCAATGAGTCAAACATAAGACACTGTAATTTACAAACAGAACCATGGATAGGCAATAAATAAACAATAAACTGTGATTTTACTTTTTTTTTTTTAAACAAGCAATCACAAGCAATCACTTGTTGAGGCTGGTTAGCACATTGCTTCCCAATCTCACAATGAGATAAATTAGTCCAGAATGAATCAGGATGAAGTCTTCCCTCAGATTCCAGACATCAGTGAGTAAGTATAGGGGAAAACCCAAGAAAATATAGAACAATAAGCCTCAATAAAAAAATATCTAAGTACACTTAACGAATGAACCCACGCTTTCTAAGAAAGAACTTTATTGGCACCACACACAATTTCAGCCAAGCTCTGGGTACCACTTTACTCGTCCCGTCTGCCTCCTGCTGCGCCTCATCGCGGCGCCTCAGCGGGAGAGCCGAGCCCTCGCAGCTCTGCCCTTGGAACGCAGCCCCCGCAGGGCTTGCGGCTGCCAGCAGCACAGCACGGCCGGGACTCGGCCCGAGCACCGGGCCCCGGGACAAGTGCTCGCGAGTCATGATCAGCCTCACACCGGCGGGACCCCGGCGGGCACAGCCGTGCCCGAAATTCCCCGCCGCCTTCCCGGAGGCGCCGCCGGGCCGGTGCCGTCCTCCCGCCCGCTCCCACAGCGCTTCCGCTCCCCCGCCCGCGCACGGGCCCAACTCGCCGCTCCGCGCCCGGGCCGGGCACTCAGCCCCCGGCCCCGCCCGCCACTTACATCCTTCTTCACCTCCGCCATCTCGTCCTCCGTCAGCGGCCGCCCCACGCCCCCCGAGCTCGACCACGACCCCGGGCCCTCCATGGCGGAACCCCCGCGGCGCCGCAGGGGAAACCCGCGCGGGGCGGTGCTTCCGCCCGGGCTCCGCCCCCGACGCCTCAGCCAATGGGCGCTCATGGTCTGAGCTACGCTCCGCCCCCAGCCCGCTCCGCCAATGGGCGCTCAGGACGGGCGCTCCGCCCCGCCCCCGGGGCGCTTGAGACCGCTGTGGCCGCACGGGCTGGGCCAGGCAGGGCTCACCCGCCGCGGGAGTGCCGGGATGTGGGGCTGGAGGTTCTGCTCTCCGGGCCTCCCTCCGGGGATGTAAGGCAGCTCCTCCGCTAAGGGGTTTGAGCGTGGGAGCGGTGTCGGGGCCCGCAGCTCCCGGCGCGTCGTGCCAGCGGCTTTAGGGTGCGGGGCAGCGCGGGGGGCCCGCAGCGTTTGGGAACCGGTGGAGTTGCAGCCCCTCCGCTGCACGGGGCCGTGCCCCAAGGCAGCAGCAGGGGGAGCCGCCTCCCCGGGGAATGGGAGCACCTGGAACTGCAGTAATCCGTGTTCCTTCTTGCAGCTGATACGGGGGGAACTCGGGCTGTTCATGCGCTCCTAAAAACTTTCGTTTCAGCAGATAAACGCGAACATAAAGTAGAAGAGATCAACACTAAGATTTGCTGCCAGTAAGGAAAACCGGCCAATTTTATGGTAGCTTTACAGTTTTGTAAAGTTTTTGCTTGACATGCTTTGTTAATGCAATAGTACTTAAAATACTAAATGTGACAATAGCTATTTTACAGTGCTAGCAGTCCCAGCTTTAAAATAAACACGAAGATCCTGCCCAGAACACTTGAACAATAAAGGACTAGGCACCTGGTGACAGGAGTGATTTCTGAAGAACTGGGTGTTAAAATAAGGGCCAATCCCCAAACTGGTTGTCAGGGGACACCCAGCCAGCTCCGTTCCCTGCCCCACTGCAGAGGTCACCTCTGCTCAGTGAAAGCTCTTTCAGACCCACCCTCACCACCCAGCCCTGATTGCTGCTCGTTTGGTGTCACACCTTTGCTCAAGGCCCAGGACCTCCTTTGTGTTATTCCTGCCTCAAGAAGCTTTTCTTTGCTGTAGTGCATTTGAATTTCTCAAAGCTGTGTATCTCTGCAAAGTAAACTATTTATCTTCCATTTTCCTGCTCAGAGGGCTGCAGGGCAGACCATTTTTTTCCAAGTTCAAGTGCCTATGCTGATTCTCCCTAATCTGTACTATGGCTCCAAAATACATGGAAAGGTTTCAGCTTCTCTGATGCTTCCCAGAGAACTGATTGTGGCACTTCTGAAACAGAGCCAGGCATCTTCCCAACCCCTGACTCCCACCTTTGTTTATTAAATCACACGCCTTTCAGCTCTCCTTCTTCAAGGTGAGTTATATTGTGGACTTTGCTGGCTCCATACAACACTGCTGATAAAAACATCTGTCATGCATTCTGGATTTAGAATATTTGTTAATAACCTTGCTCAGCAAGAGGTGCAGTTCAAAGCCATGTGATGTCTGGAGGGTTAGGCTGCTAATTCCCGAGCCGTGTAGGAGACAAACTGGAAAGATTTAACTTCAGCAGTCAGGAAGAGAACATGTGGTTAGAGAATACAAGAACAGAATCTGTTTTAGCAGACTTAATGCCAAAACACCCTACCAGGATTTAATGGTCCAGGCAGCAGGAAGAAGGCTACTCTCTGCATGAAACTCATTTCAGGAGAGTAACAGCCACTTGATACTCAGAAGTGAGCCTCAATGTAGAGTGAGTTAGGCATCATTTCCTTCAAGGCATCTGGGAAGATTTTGGACATTGCATTGTTTTATGAGTATGTACATATGTAATGTCCATCTAGCGTAAATTTCCTAAATAAAATTTGAAAACTGTTTACAAGCCAGAGGTTTTTACAAAATTCCCTGTGAAGGCAAAGAAAATGTTGTAACACTCATAGTTTCCAGGAGGTCAGTCAGCTTTTCAGAGCTGTGACCGGCTCCAGGTTTTTTTCCCCTTCTGTCCTCATTGATCAAGCCCTCTCCAGGCAGCAGGTCCTTACTGCTGAGCAGGAGCCTCTCCCTGGAAGTTTCATGTGCTCCCATCCCATTCTCCTCCTGATCCTTGCTCAGGGATCTGGGTCCTCAGGACAAGCCCCTTCTGGAGCCCAGCCTCCGTGAGAGCTGTGGGACTCTACACCACAATTTCTTAGGGAGGAGGAAGAAGAAAGCTGCCAGACAGAGAGAAGGGAAGGAATTTGGTTTAGCTACAGATTGAGGGCCCTTTCCAAACTCAACAGATACCAGCAGAAATCAATGGCATGTTTCAGCTACTAAGCCACAGCAATAAACCTACAGGTAATGAATTTTTGGGGGTGCAGTTGTTGACAGCATCAGAATGTCTGGGCTTTAGGATGCAGGAGACAGAGTCCAATGTTTTTTAAGCAGTATGTACTTAGAGTGGGGACTGAATCTGTACATTCAACTGTAAATTCTATACTTGATGAAGTAAAATCCTACAGCTAAGTTATGCTCAGAACACTCCTTGTTAAATTACCATGACTTTGTTTTTTTCAGGTTTGATACTCTATGAGAAACTTCTTAATGTGGCAAGTGGGTGTGGCTTGTCTATATTCTCTAATTTTTAATCATTGCCATTTAGAAACAAATTCAAGTAAATTGGTACCAACTCTCTCCTGTAGACATGGGTACCATGTAAATGAAGTAGTTTAAAATATAAATTGCATCACACCAGATGTATTCACATTAGGCAAGCACTGAATTAAATACATTACTATAAAAATCCAACTTTTAGCTGGTGTTGAAAAATCAGTATAAAGGCTGTATTTAGATCCTTTGTCCCTACTTCTCTGGCAAGGAGAATAATAGATTATGGTTTGTTTAAAGTCCTATTATACTAGCAAAATACAGTTTGAAAGTGATCTAATTATTTTGCCACAGCTTATTAATGAATTCCTACTCTGTTAAATTATCTTGGGTTTCTTAAAAAGCTAAAAGAACTTGGAACAACTGACTCCTGAACTGCCAGGAGATGGCACTGATGGCCCACAAGCCCTCACACACATGTGCATGGAGCCTGGAGCAACTGCACTGCCTCCCCAGCTCTTGAATCCTGATGTTGCAACCTGCTGGCAATTAGAGCCCAAGGGTGCAAGCAGAGAGTAGCCCTACGTGCACTATTTGTAGCACACACCAGGAAGGATTTAGACATAAAACATGCAGTTATCTGTCACGTTACCCCAAAGCAATGTCTGGAGTGCAGTCACTTCTCCTGAGATTGTGGGAAGAAAAGACACAAGAGCTTTGTGAATAATTTTACCATAACGGGAATGCCATAAACCTTTGTAGTTTCACATTTTGTAAGTTACAGTAAATTCAGGCACTACAGAGAAACATACTGTACTATGTTAATATCTGTTCTGTTACCTTGGGCAGCAATAAAATTAATCACGACCACTCACAGGCAGTATCTCCTCTCTCTACACGTTATTCTTAGATGTAGAGTCTGAAATTATAATTTGTTTTTAAGGAGTCAAGATTTCCCCTAACAGAATTAAAGGTTTCAGTGCTAGAGTCTATAACTGGCTTTACTTCTAGGTATGTAATAAGCTTGGAAATAAAAAGACAGCATGAAACAATATTAAGTACATATACTTTCAGTTCCAAAACAAGAAGCACAAACTACACAGGGCACGGTACAACTGACACTTTATTCCTTTGTGATGGAGATATATAGTATCGAAACTGCAAGAGTCACCCCAAAAAAAAAAAAAACTAAAAAAAATCAAAGTGCAAACCTCTATTAGAACTGATTATGGAATGTACTGATGTTTTGGCACAAAAAGTGGGGAAATATATACTGCAACAAGATTTTAAGTTTAATGAATGTAATGCTTCCGTGCTCAGTAGTCACATTTGTGCACTGCAGAACAATACAATGTAAAACAGTGACTAACACGATTCACATACAACTCTATACAATTTACATCACACGTCCAGTTAAAACTTCTCTGAAAATACATGAGGTCCACTGATACTTTGTTCACAACCACTTAACAAATACCATTCTTTAAGCAGGCTTATCTTTTCAGCTTCCTTATTGATAAAAGCAAAAATAGACAATCTTAAATAGTAAGTTATTTTCCTCAAATGGTTCCATGTGGATGTTGATGTTTTCTATTAATTTGGCTCTGACTTCACTGATTAAACATATATGAAGCTGAACAAAATCAAAAGCTCATTGCTTCCATATTTTCCAATTTGCTGTGAACAAACAGCATTCTGTATACTGTCTTTTTGTTTTCAAACCTGGACATAGTGGTGCTTATGAGCTCTATTCCTATCACATGGAAATCACCAAAAAAATCAGAGCATAGCTTCACACAGTGGCATGTATTGAAAACTGATTATTAGCATGGTAAACACAAAAATACATAAATGGAAGAATTCAAGTTTGTCTCATAAAGTACAGTATGCATTCACATTTTCATTACAGAGAGAGACACTGTATTCACATCCTGTTGAAGAAAGAAACCCACATATCACAGATCTCTCTAAACTCTTAGCAAAGATAATATCCATGAAATATCTATAATGCACATTCTGTCTCTTTCATTTCAACTGAGCTAAACTGATTGCTGAAAGGAAAAATCATTTGATGAATAATTCAAGCCACATTGCTGAGCTATTACCACAAGAACTTCTGTATGGGTCTGCTCTGTCATACAGCCTGACAGTTGTTATCAAGAGTTTTATGTGGGCAACTATCAGTGGCTCAGTGTCTCATCTCCTTTTTTGGTTTGGGATTTGATTTTATTATTTATATTAATCAAGAATGATGATTTATATCAGGCATCTGAGAAATGTTCTGGTGACAAAATGTACAGGACATGAATTAGATGCACATGTGTCACTGCAGAAATGTCCTCATGAATTGTTTGGGCAACAGAAAAATAAACAGCAAGAACAAGAAGCATTTGGCATGATTTTAGTTCTTAGTACCACACTGCAAATACATAAACTGAAGTGCTCATAATATTTTTCTTTCTAGTGCCAGAATAAAGATTAACAG